ACAAAATTATTGGACTTTTATAATAATTCTCCCCGTTGCTATCCAAGTACAAATGTTTTAAGTTTTATTTTGACCTAAAGGCTCCTAAACAATCACCATATCAACAAGCTGCAGGCGATCATCTTGCTGGAAGTATTAAAAAAATCACTATGCATACTTTTAAATATGGCAATTTCTTCAGGTTACAATTACATCAAGAGGATCTCAGCCAAGGTAGTCAAAATCGAGATTCTAAGTAGGATCGGAGAGAAAATGAAAAATCGCAACTCGTAGGATCGTAACACGAATCGTAAGATCCTACAAAATTCTATAAATACATGTAAAATAATATAAATCTAAAGACCAGAGGATAAATGAGAGAAGTGAGCCACCCATCTCAAAACAGAGATACTAAGGACAGAAACAGAGAGGGAAAAGATAGATTAAGTATTGTATTCTGGTAAAAGACTATTTCATCTTTAAAGAAACTTAAAACAGAGCCACTTTAAGGGTAAAAGGGGGAAGTCAGATTATTTTTAAATGATGAGAAGTCTTTTTTTTACCCTTAAAAAACCCTAAAATCTGCTTCATTCTAGGGATAGAAAGGGAGCTTGATAACTTTTACTCCAGCTGCACTGTAAATTAGGCTATGTTGGCTGCAAATACAGCTGCGATGGCCACCACAGCAAAACGCTCCACTATGACATGATCACCGGCGCAAAGCAGAGTCGCTGGCACAGACAAGGTCGTCGGAGTAGACATAGTCATCAGAACGAATATAGGGATCGCAGAACAGAGGAATGAAGTCGCCGCATCCAAAAATGGTGGAGAAAGAGGCGATTTGAAGGAGAATGGGTAAAGAATGGAATAAACAGATTCGCTGTGCTGAGGAAGATGAGAAGTGCGTCTGGCAGGTTGCAAAGAGGCAAGAGATCGGAGAGAAGAGTGGAAAAAAAAAAAAAACCTAAAAATGGGGCAGAAGCAACTCGCCCAGGATCGCAGATTCCACGATAGATCGTGCGATCCCATCAATCCCACCAAAACGAGTTCCAGCTCAGGATCGGGATCGTTGGACCTGCGGCAGATCGTAAAATCGTATGATTTTACGTGTTAACTTGCAATTTTGACTACCATGATCTCAACCATTGTGAAGCCAATGTTTCAAAGAAGTATTTCTCAATGTACATCTTATGCCTACTAAATAGGTGCTAGATGAGACTAGTTTTAGAATGGTTCTTTCTTTTTCTGGTACAGATTGGCAAGTATTATTGTCACTGCAAGGGAAAGGAAAAGTGTAGCAGAAGGACTAAGTCGTATGCACCATCATCTCAGTAAAAAGGTTAAAAGATCAAGAAGATTGAGATACCTATAAAGGTTCTCCAGTTTAAGATCATTCAGTTTACTATCAGCTAATAAATATGGAGATTGAGGCATTTTCTGTTTCCCGATTACATACAAGATGCAATTCAGCCTTCATCAATCATCATAATTCCAGCACAATACCCAAAATTAGAAGTTGTTTATAGCTTGACCGTGAAAGGATTGAAGTTCCATATCCAAATTTAAACTATTTAAACCCCACAATATTCTTGCAAAGACATCTTCAGCAGTGTAAAGTTATATGAAAGTACCTTTCACATCCTGCCTCAACAGAGACATAAGAGCTTTATGCACAGCATCACGCTCCACAAACTCCTCTACAAGAAATTTGGGGAAAAGAAAATATCAGAATCATAATCATGGGTAAGCTCTCAACTGTACAAAAACATCAAAGACCACAACTTACCAGACCCAAGAATTTGCACAAGAATATCAACCATCTTCCCAATATTTTCAGGTGTATCCTTGCAGAAAAGAGGCAGTCCTCTAATTGCTTGCACCCGTACCTGAACAGAAACAGAAAAACACCAAACAGTGGACACAAACCTCAGCATACGGAATTGACCAATAATTCCCAGCAATGCTTGACTTTTCTTTCTCCACTTCACAATGTTCTGTTTACTTATAAATGGCATTATTGACCTTCAAATGTATCATTCATTAAGTATCTTCGGTCAAAACTACTCCTTATTAATTTAGTTTGATATTTGATTTGGTTTCTAAACCATTGCTAAAATATTGGAGAGAAAAGATACACACAGAAGGACACCATTCCGGAACTTTTTTGGAGAAAAAAGACACAAAACATTCTTTTTTTTCCATAATTTGGGGAGCAAAATACATACCCCAAGTTCTTCAGCCTCAACCAAATCAAGATGAGCGTCGAGTGCAGGGCCAGAGAGTTCAGGGAAGAACTTGTAGAACTTGGGAATGAGCTGCGCAGCAAGCTGCTTCGCCTTAACACTCGTCTTGGCTGCATCTATGATTCCCTGGTAATCCTTCACATTCTGCCAACACCAAAATTCAAAACCCTAATTGAAAACCCGAACGTTACAATTCAAAACCCTAAAAAGAGAAAAGCAAGAACGGAAGCACGAATTTGGGACCTGAGACTTGTCCTTGGCATTGTTGAGTTGCTCGCCGTATTCGTAGAGCTTCTCGATGTAAGCAGCCTCTTCGGAAGGATCAGTCATTGGAAGGTTCTGCAATTGCGATAGCGATTGAAATTGAAGAACGAAAGTAGCTATAGCATACGAAAAGGGAGAAAGAGGGTTTTGCAGAGTGTTTCAAAGATAAGAGAGAGTAACTGACCTGAAGAGGGTTAAGATAGTTTTGAGTTGAATGAAAGGGGAAGGATTCAGTGATCTAAGGTCAAGTTGCTCTCCGATGGGGACGAGTTTCACTTTCCTCACACTACACACTGCACCACCACAACACACTAGCACAAACACTGTATCGCCTCTCCTCTTATCTCTCCGCCAACGAAACTCTCCTCCAGCAAGTGGACGACACGTCGTTTCTCCTAACTGCGCCTTATAAACGTCAAATGCCAAAACAAGTCGGAGATGGAACCTTTTTTTTTTTTCAATTGCTCTTGTCGGTTTTATATTATAATTAATGTAAAATTTTGGTTTCTTTAATAAAATTTTAAAAATAAATAAATTCTTTAAAATAAGTAATTTTAAAAAATACATCTCTAAGAAAAATATTAAAATAATCCAAAATAGAAAAACACAAATTAAAAAATAAGATATGACAGGTATAAAACTAATGTAATAAATAAAAAAGTCTATAAAAATGATTAATATAATAAATTTCAACATAATAATAAACGCATGTTATCAGAGCTAAAGATAAGAATAAAAACAACACTTTAATATCTCCTACCTATTTTGCTTACTACTTTCTTTTATAAAAGTAAGTAAAATATTCAAAAATCAAAATCACAAAAATAATTTTTTATATTTTGTATTTTTTTATATAATAAATAGTGGATGGATGAAATTAATATTAAGTAAATATTATACTGAGTATATATTCCTTTAAAACAATTTTAATATACTATTTATGAATTATATACCAATTAATTAATTAATTAATATAATTAGGAGGATATTGTTTTATTACAATACATTTAAAAATTATATTATTTTAATTTAATGAAAAAATAAAATTACTTATTTTATCAATACAAAATCTAAGTGTCAACAATTTAAAATAATTTATAATGAATTTGGTTTATCATTTTAAGAATATTTTTAAATATTTATATATTTTATAAAAAAAAAATATTAATTCTTTAAAATTATTAAATTATAAATACTTTCGTAATTTTTCAAATAATAAAAATAATAATAAAATTCGCAGGCCGTAAAAACTAACAGGATTTATATAACTAGATCTAGAAAAGATTTAATATGAAATAATTTCTAAATAAATCTTATTCTATTATTATAAATTCAACTTTATGTAACAAATTTGAGGCTTCATTTTAAGAATAAAAATTTTATTACGTATAATTTAATGGTAAATATTTACTTTGAATTTTTAGAAATAGTAAATAGTGAAAAAATATTTTTGTACATTTAATATTTGATACATATATTAATTTTTTAAAAATAAGAAAAAATATTTTCTAAAGCTATGTATGAATATATGATGTAGTAACTATCAATATTCCACTTATTTTTATAAATTATAATAATCATAGTAATATCAATACTAATCATAAATGAATTTAATTAATATATAAAAATCTTTTATTTTGTCATTCAATCATTTATTCTTAGATTAATAAGAATAGCTAACTTTTATATTTTAGTATATGATTGCTAAAAATTATATTAAAATTATGTTAAAGAAAACTAAATTACCTACACAATGATTATCATATTTAATTAATATTAATTGTATCCGTGTATATTTTTTCAGTGTAAAATAATATATACTGAAAAAGATGTAAAATGTCATTTTAGAAAACTAAAAAAGTATATTAATTTTTTATTTTAAATATTTTTATAAAAATAAAATATGAAAATATGTGTTGGATATTCAAGTGATACTATTATTCTCATCTGTAGCTATGATAATATGTGTTTGATATTATTATTTTGATTATATTATTTATTTCTTTTTATAGTATTACATAACTATTTTATCAATTTTTACCTATTATATTTAAATTTTTTAATAATTTTTGTAATTTATTTTTATTTTTCTCTCAAATCATCTTAATAACATTTTATTAAGATATCTAATTTTTGGCATAATTGTTTTATTATAGCCATAATATATGTGTGTTGTGTGTACATAGGTTCATATTATTTAAGTATTTAACAATATATTTTATCCTTTAATTATTGGTGGTTTGTGGCTATTTTTATTATTAAATATTTATGCTACAAATAAATTATAAACTATGTGTCAACCTGATATAATAATTAATTATCATCTTACACTAACACTAAGGTTAGATAAACTACGTATATGAAGGGATTTGCCTCTGTTATTTATAGGCGTAGGTGTATCTTGATTAATGGGGTGCATTTTTGTATCAAAATTTACATTTAAAATTTAAAACTTATGACCACTCTAAACAGATTCTTAAATGAGCTCTTACAAACAACTAAGAACACATTTAGAAAAATAACTGTAGCAACTATTTGATAAACTCTTATAAAATAAGAGCATGTTTATAATCTTGATAATAAAGTTGACTGAAATAAGCTTAAAAAATTATATTCTACATAAAACTTATTGAAATAGGTAAAAAGAAAATATGCTTATAAAGATGTCATAATCACTTTTATAACATTAAAAAGAACTCTTCCAAACATCAACAGAATGAACTTCTCATTTTCCAACTTCATCCTTGCTCTAATCAACTCTTCCACGTTTGCTTAGCTTAGTTGTCCAATAAAAAATGGTTATAACTTATAGAACAGGCATGTCCAGTACTTGCAAGACATCCTTGAACTCAAAATCACGCGTTTCTCTGTTGAACCTCTCAACCAGTTTGTACCTCACATCATTTAAATAAAAAGACTGAGCAGTTTCCAAAAGCCATTTTGCCTCTGAATCAGTAAGCTTGCTGGTAAATACAACATCCCCACGGATCAGTACCAAGTCCTTGCTGTCTGCAAATTCTGTGTAAAAGGTCACAACAAAGTATGGAGCTGCTTGTGTTCCCCTGGCCTTATAATCTTCAAGACCTGTAAAAAGTATGTGTGGCGCCTGGACTGCAAGAAAAGAAGGGATATGTATTTAAGACAACAATGAAGATGTAAAAAGACAACATGTAGAATTAATAAACTGTTTGTTTCAACATGTTTTATTCCAGTTTTGGTGTGTCAAAAAAATTTAACCGGAAGAATCATTCTTAAAATGTTCCTCTCTTCATCCCACCAACAAATATCCCTCCAAACAATAATAATAACCTTATCTCACTTGGTGAGGTCAACTACATAAATCACATGATGCTATTGGGTTCCATAAATATCCTTCCAAATCAATAAATAAAACAAAGGCCTTTGGCTTTTTGTCTCAATTATCAAGGAGATTTCCCACTAACATAAATTTATAATACATTTTACGATTTAAATTTAAATTTCTAAAACCTGTCATCATATTGGAAGTTCCATAAATAGTTAAAAGCTAGAGGTGACCTAGGCAATAAAACAGGTATATAAAAAAGCATTTCACCATTGGCAGTCCTTTAATATTGCAAAGAAGATACAAGGATATAGCAGCTGGAACGCAAGGGAAAACAATACTCCCCAACACCTTTTGCTAATCTATGGACAATCTCCCAAACAGAACGAGATTAATATCTTAAAGCAATAAAAGTTCAAGGTTTTGGAAACTAGTTTTTGACCCAAGAACTTCCAATGAAAATAGTTTCCCAGAGGCATAATTAAAGGACGTCAACTGTAATTATGTGAAACTAGAATTTGTCCAGGAACTGGTGGCAAATTATTAACAATTTTTTCTGTAGGTAACTGCAACTGCATCTCTTTCTTCAGGCTAGAAAAAGACGTGAATTTGATAATAGATAAGTTTTTTGTGAACTTGCATGTCCAAGTAAATCTTTTCTTGGGGCATGGATAAAAATAGTAACCAAACAGGCAAACATGATCATGCATGTTTATTAATGCTTCACCTTTTGTTTATTTTGTAATGGTTATGCAATTTGCAATGCACTGTACGGGCTACATGGCATCACTGATTGCTTGCTACCCTTTGAATTTGCTATCCATGGATTAGGATATCCCTATTTGCTTTGTGTATTACAATAGAGTCCATGATATAAGCGGACGTATTACAAATACAATATCTTTGACTGCAGCTACAGATATTAATATCTCGAAGGACAAGAAATCCTACCCTATCAATGGATAAGAACATATACCTGTCCATGTATAAGTTTAATACAGCCAGATAGTGTTATTAAGCTGTAGCATGTTAAACATTGTGAGTGTAATTAGGTTAGGTATGAACTGGAGAAATGAGAGTATCAGGTAGGAGGTAAGTGTTATGTCTCAATTATTCAGACTATTTTCATAGACTATACTTACTGGCAGTCTATCCCTATCTCTCTTCTCTTTTTCATCTAACCTAAACATCAACAACTTTCTAGAATGACCCTTTCTTCATTTTCACTTCAGTCTTTCAAGTTCTCTCATAGTGCCCCACATCAAAGGAATAAATAATATCAAAATACCTATATACAGAAACGGGGGGTTTCTCTTTTCCAAACTTCCATATACAAATAAGCAATCAGGTGTAACACAGTTTAGTCTTTAGTTTCATAACAATTATTGAAAATTCTGGAATAAATAAGAGAGTAATTTTTGACAAACCTTGAACAAACATTGTTGTATATCCACTGCCCCTCCACAAAGGAATTACAAAATATCGGCTGCCAAGGATAAATAAAGCTGAGAACATGAAATTAAAACAGCACAAATTCATAGTATCAGACTATCAGAATCGGTATAGATCAAAATGAATACCATTCTGACGCTCTATGCTCCAGCAAGTGATAAAGTTTTGATTTCATAGATGCTCCAATATGACCTCTTCCTATGTGATACTAAAAAAGAAAAAAACAATCAATTCATTTGATTGAAAGACAGTACGATTAATTTGCCCCATAATTGCAAAACAACCTAACAGTTTTCCCTTAAGTTGCATCAACATTCCATCAATAATGAGAATAAAATTGACATAACAAAGATGCTGCAATAAAAGTCTTCTGTATATAGTCCAACACAACAACCAAATTAAAAGCAGGTTCAAAGGAAAATCCTAGAGAAGAAAACTTGATTGCTACTACCAAGATTATTATCAGATTTACGATAAGATCATGGACACTTCGGCTTTAACTTACTAACCCCACAGTGGAGAAGGCAAGTGTTTCCCATAGATCAACAAGCAGAAGCTTAACCAAGTGTACAAATTTTCTTTTGTTATTTCCATTTTTACTATTCCTGGAGATATTATCCAACCTATCTTCTTCAATTTTTCTCATACTCTCCAACAACTAAAACACATCTAAGCCTAACAAAAGCAACTGACAAAGACAAACAAAAAGCATTTAAAACTCCTAGAATTTTTTCTCTTAATTCAAGGTAATAGTATATTATATTCGTCCAACCATATTCACCCACACACACACTAATTGCGTATTTAAGATTAGTATAAAAAACAGTTACAATGTTCACTTTGAAACGTGGTTTAACTTGATTATATTGAGTTTCCGAACGCAGACTAATACTATATTATATTCTTCCAACCAGCTTCACCCACTCTCTCTCACACACAAACACACTAAGGTCTCGATTGGAAGAGCTTTTAAAAATAGCTACCCTCACAAGTTTTTTGCAGTTTATTTCAATAAGCTATTCAGAATAAACTCTTTTCAGCTTATATAATGAAATTTTAATGTGTTTACAAATACACATTAAATCAAACAAGAGAGAGTGATAAAGAACAAGTAATGAATATCACAATAAATGATACATTACATCATCCCAAACTGAAGCGATGTCCTCAGGATACCGATCCTTCAATCCGTGAACATCTACAATGGAATCCAACGGCTTCGGTTGCAAAGGGTTGAACCCAGAGGCAAACTTTGACGTTCTGCAGAATCCAAGCGAACCCCGTTTGAGGAAATCGCAGGGAATCTCCGGTTGATGCACTTTCTTCGAACCTGATACGACCGAAACCGCAGAGAAAGAGCGCGTAGAAGAGTCAGTGGAGGTAAATGGGTTTCTGACCTTAGAGGCTATGCTCCTCCAAATTCTGGAGGCTGAGGACACCCTTTGCATTGCAGAATCTGAAAATGAGAAAAAGAAACGAATTTGACGATTGGGACAGTGGCAGAGAGCTGAGGGTACAGCGGGATGGATAGAGGTGCGGCCAGAAGTTCGCCGGCGACGCGAAAATCGGAGCGAGACGGCGGAGTCTCGAAGGAGAGAACTAAGCGCATATCATCATTTGGGCCTAAACTAAAGTTATGGGCTTATGTTATGAATTACACATTTCTTTTAGCTTTTTTGAATTCTCAATTTTATACTTGACCGAAAAAAAAAACTTAACTCTAACGATAAAAAAGAATATTCTGAATTAAATACACAATATTTTATTTAATTGATGTTATTTATTATAATGACTATTTTAAAAAAATTGAATTTTTTTTAATAGAAAATGTGTTTAATTAATAAAAGATTATAGTACTTGTGATAAAAAATTAGATTAATGAAAAAAAGTTTGAAACTCTTAGTTTTGAAAAATATAAAAAATCAATTTAATTGATGTGAAATTATTTTATTAATATTTTTCAAGTATATTATTGTACCTAAATGTTGAATTGATTAAGGAAAATTTTTAAAAAGTCAAAATGTCTTCCAAAAAAATTTATAAAGGAAAATATTAATATAATTAAATATAATAAATTTTATGTCATGTGGAACTTTGAATATGTTAATCTCCATTAATGATACCAATTAGTTAATTTATTGATATTTTTAATATCAATAGTTATTTTTCTCATTCTTTTTTTTTTATATACTCTAATGTGATTCATTTTAGCATGCTCAAGTCTAAAATTAAAATTTAATTTAAATACATTAACAATGTAAAAAAAATTTACATTATCATCCAATTATGGATTGTTATATTCATAAGGATTATTAAGTTCTGTTATAATTAATATGAAATTAATATAACAATATATTTTAATTAATTAATAATATAAAAATATTTACATTAATAATGCACTAAAATTATACACCATGAATCATTCCAAAAATAGTTTTACAAAAATCTTCAATAATTACCATGCAGTCACGGATATAAAAAAGTTAGTGTCTTAAGGACATATCCTTGTGTTCTGAAATCCCTGTATGTAGAAAGAAAGTTATTGCCGAGAAGAATCTTTGTGTTAAGATTTCTTGAAATATTAGTCTCTTGTTTATCAACTAAAAATATATATAAAGTTAAGCATAGTGAAGTAGTATCATTACACTGAAATGCAAGTAAAATTGCTAAGCATGCAAATAAATGAACACTGAAGATACGACTCACATTTTTGCTTAGTTGATCATTTCTTTAAAAAATTAAGTTTGGCTAGTATTTGATACACTAGTTAAAAGAAGATCGAACATAATATATAAATCGTATTTATGTATTTAAAAATAAATTAAAACTATAAATAGGACTTGAAAAATAATAATTTTTAATGTTACCAGAATTAAGGAAAACAAAATAGACTGGTCCATTTTATTTTGTACACACCCAAAACTTTATTTTAAGCTATATGTTTGAACAGAAAAGAAGCAAGAGATAAGAGGGAAAATAAGTAAAATTTCAGTATATTTTTATATTAAATGATACTTAAATCCTTATAATATAAAAATAAAATTAAACTCTTAATATTTTTATCCTTATCATAAACCTTTCTTCCTCCTCAATGTTTTTTATTTTTAATTTTTTTCCATTTAAAGAGAAAGCAAAATAGTCACTAGTCACACAAGTATTTTTTTTTTTTTTTTTAATCTCTTTCTTTTGTTTTTTTGGTTGTTTCAAGGCAAAGAAACTTTTAAAAAGTGTGTTTTATTGTTTGAAAATCTCTTTGATCCCTATATTGCTTTCCAAACAAAGCTCAAGTATTAGTTAATCAACTAACCTTATTTGGAACCCCTCGATGATTACTTAATTGCCCATGTGATCTGAAATGACAAACAAGACACTCACTCCAACAACAACTAAGTATTAAAATAATAAAAGCATGAACTTTTTAAATATTTAACATTGAATTTAAGAATTTAAAATAGTAGCTTTTATAAAAAAAAAAGTCTTTATTTTTATATTTTTAATATAATAAATATTTTAATAAAAAGTTATATAATTTCAATGTTTAAATGATGTTGAACATTAAGTGTTTTTCTAAAAATTTTAAATAACTAAACTAAAACATGTTCATAAGTTTTCATCGCACACAATCTTGATGTAGGAGATAATTTTAACTATTTTGTATGTTATGTAATTAATTTCCTTATTCTTTCATAAAAAAACTCAATTCTAAAACTCAAAATAAAATAAAAAAAACCGTTAAAATAATAAGACATGTAAAAATACGTAGATAAAGCAGTTGAGCCTAAAAGTGGAGGGTGGAGGGCCACTGAAAAAGCTGTGTCACTGTGACATTACTCACTGAATGACCAAAATTAATTTCCTACTATGCTAAAGTACCTTGTAAAGCCAAACTTACAAGGGGAATGAATTTGGTGAGATGGTCCTTAAGCTTTTTAATGCAGTCACAACATAAGGCTCCTTCCACTAAAGATGAACCAAAAAAGGGAAAAGCAACTCAGTATTTTGGTCCTTTACGTGCAGAAAAGGGGATGGAGAAGACAGTGAAGTAGATTAAATAGTGCAAAAGCCTTCATTTATTTATAATTTGGTGGGGCTTTTGGTTGCACATGCCCAGCATTTAATAACTCATGCAAGGGCTGCACTACACTGTTCTTGGTGGGGTTCACTCACTCACTCACTCACTCACTCACTCCAATTACTTCTCCACAGTCAACCCTGTTTTGTGCATTGAAAATGTTTCTTTTTCATATTACTTTTTCCTCTATTGCGTTTTATGGGGCAATTGGTTCTCAAACTAATTTTGTACGAAATATTAGAAGTAGCGTTGAAATATACTGATTGATAGCATAATGTACAAATATCATAGATCATCATTTACTTTAGATAAATATTTAAACAGTAATATATTCTTTTATAAATCAAAAGCAATTTATATTACTTCAGTTTTATAAAAATTAAATTAGGAAACTATTAAAAACAAAAAATGTAAATTATTTTTTATCTATAAAAAAAGTTCTATTCATTTTACTATAACTTTTAACTCTTATAAATATTATTTTTTTATCACATAAATTCTCTAAATTTAAAAATATTTTCATAATTTGTGACCTTAAACAAATGAAAAAGTGCATTTTTATTGTTAAAAGAATTTTAATTTTATGAGCTAGAAATTGAATAGTTGTTAAAAAAAATTTTGCTAGGAGGTACCCATTGATCAGTAGTCAACCTCAAAAATCATGAACTAACATCAATTGCATATACAGACTTGTGAATGAATCTCATCATCCCCATCAAATCATGTTTTTTAATTAATATTTTATCACAATTTGAGATACGTATATAATAAGGTAGTTTATATCGGTATTATTAACCTTTTCCAGCTTTACTGACTTAAAAATAATCAATGATAACTGATAACCCACAGTTTTCCTTTGATCAACGGTCACTGATTATTTCAATATAGAGAAAGTTCATACCGATATCATCAAAAGTGACATGATACATCTAGGCATCTAGGTAGACCCTACATTTGCATTTGACCATACATAAACCCATTATGATTGAACCAAAAATGTGCTAGAATCAGGTGGGTGAACTTCAACAAGATTTTGAAGGGTATGTCTTTTGGATTTTTTTTGAGTTATTTTTTGGCTTGTCAGGATTTTTCTGCATTAGATACTACCACCACCAATTAATTTAGCTTCGTTTTTCTCTTCTATGAGACTCACGGGCATTGATTCCCTCTAATTTTTAAACCCCCTTATTCTGATTTGGCAACCTCTCCCATACCCTTATACAAGTATTCAACCTTGCCTTCACTTTTGATCTTCTAAACCACCATCATTCCTCCATGTCCTAAACTGCTCCATTATGTCTATCCCTTCTTTTGCTTCTACTTCTTTTTCATTTATACTCACTTCTTTGTTTGTTTTCTTCATTTTGACAACAACTTCATCATCCTTAGCCATAAAACTCAACACTACACGCCCCACTCGCCAACTCTCAGTAGATCACTATGCCAAATCTTGCCCCCAACTAGAGCAACTTGTTGGTTTAGTCACTTCTCAACAATTCAAAGAATCACCTGCTTCTGGCCCTGCCACCATTCGCCTCCTCTTCCACGATTGCTTTGTAGACGTAAGCTCGATTCCCAAGAATAAAAACTTTGTTTTGCAAAATTGCATGCATGCCATTGTTTTACTAGTTTTTGTCAAAGATTTAAAACCGAAGAGAAAAAACACATTTTCTTGTCTTCATCCACCAGTTGTGTTTCATAACTTATTATTTTTAAAAAATAATTGCTATTTTTCAGAAGCTGTTTCATAGAGTAGACAAAGTAAATTTATTATTTTTCTAAGATAAATTCAACCAAACGGTTTTTAGAACAAATGTGTTTCAGTGATCCCTGCAGCATTTAAACTAGTCATTTAGTGAATTTTGTGGTTTGGTGCTCTTTTTCTTAAGGGTCTATGATAATTCTTGAATGGGTGAATTTAGGGGTGTGATGCATCAATTTTAATAGCTTCAAAGCCTGGAAGCAAGGATTTGGCAGAGAAGGATGCAGAGGATAATAGAGAATTGAAGGTGGAAAGTTTTGAGACTGTAAGAAAGGCTAAGGAACTGGTAGAGAGAAAGTGCCCTGGTGTGGTGTCCTGTGCGGACATTCTTGTAATTGCGGCCAGAGATTATGTACACTTGGTAAGTTATTGGTGTTTTGTTACAATTACAATCATGCTTACCATATATACTTTTATCTAATATCTTTGCATTTTTCTTTCCACCTCTAAATTTTGGTCTCTTCCACTTCCCACTGTAAAATGTGGGCACTATGGTAATGCTTTCCAGTGCATAAGTTTTGACATCATAGGTGTCAGATCACATGCAATGCAAACTAAAAAATATTGCTAATTTGAAAAGTTGTTGTTGTGCTCTTTCAAGTAACCAAATTTGGTCCACTTAAATTGACCACAGAGCAAGGGCTATTTGACAATGAAGAAATCCACAATATGCTCTTTTGGACCAATTTTTTTAGTGGAAGTTGAAAATTTTCTTTTTCACTTATAATTTTTCTAATGTGTACAAAATTACCAAATAAAAAATTAATAAATAATTTTTAATAATTATAGTATTTAATATTATCAATATATTATATCTTAAGATATCTTCTAATTTCCAATAAAAAAAAATACTCTACATAAATCAGTTTTTCCACCATATAATAAAAATTTATGTATAGGAAGCTTTTATGAAAACCACGTAATCTAATAAATTAAAAATCATGAAATAATTTTAAATGTTACTATTTTAAAAACTCTAATTATTTATAATTTTTTTATCGTGTATCTTCGAATACACATTATGCATCTTTCTGTTCTGTATAAGAAAACAGCAGCTTTGCTTTCATACCACTTATACGAAAGAAAAATCGTTTTAAAGAAAAAAGAAGTGAGCCCCTCCTCCTAAGAACATAATACCATTGCCAAAAATAAAAAGTTCTTAAAATTTAGGCCTATTATAACCTTATGGTACTTGCGAAAAGGTGTCATAGACTTATTGCAGCCTATTTGTCTATCACTTATTATGACATTATATAACTTACGTATATAAAATGACAAATATGAAGCATACTGATTAATAAAGTGGAAAGTTTTTATTTAAAGAATACTATTGATGTGTTTTTATTACATTTTTTAATACATTTTTCACATCATTTTTAATATTTATTTATAACTAATAAGCCATATTTTTTCTTCCTAAACAAAGACAAAAGAGCTAACAGTTATGGAGGTGTAGAATAAATTGGGTTGTCCATTTGCTAATTTGCCTTGCCAAAAAGACACAAAGCCTTCGGCATTGGTACAGGCTGGTCTCGATTCTAGATTACCCAAAATCACTTAATTTAGCTCTAGAAAGTAGAAGCAGACAATATGATCTTGGTTTGAGAGCATTTTCTATTTTTCCTTCCTACATCAAAATAAGAAGATGCCTCTCCTATTATACTAATTGCAGTTCTTTGTTACACTATTGTTTCATATGTTTGACTGCAAAACAGCCAACTTTTGTACTTTTACGTGTGGATTATATGGGCACCAAACACAACGCTGCTTCTTAATCTTAAAGTCTAAGTTCTAGTGTTGTCCTTTTCTATACCATATCAGATTGATACATGCAAAACAGTAGAAGTTTTGCACCATATAAATATAAATTAATATATATTTTCGATAATTCACATGTTTATAAATAGTTATATTTTAACTTAATATTATTAATTTAATTAAAATATATTATACTGTCAGTTAATCATATATTATTACGTTAATAAAAATCATTACTTTTTATGATAATTATTTTAAAAATTATATCCATCGTATATTTTGGTGTTTAGTCAAAATTGTGATTGATTTGGTTGGAGGGAAGGGGAGAGGGGGAGTAAGGCCAATATTGTGTTTGTTTGAGGAGAAAAAAGAAATAAATAAAAAGTAAAAAGGTTTTGTTAACCTAAGTCAAGCCTAAGAATATATAATTAATAATAGTAAAATTTTATTAGAAAGAGAAATATTTAATTTATTTTTATAACTTTAATATAATAATTATGTATTTTTTTTTATTTGTAGATGCTTAAACTCAGCTCTTAAGATTAACAAAATTCAAAGTAAAATTGAACTAAACTAATGTTGTATTTAACCGGTTGTTTTAATGTGTTCCTTGAGATAATGGGTTTTGTAATTAGAATCTAGAAACAATTTGATGAACTTCCAATGTAGAAAAAAAAAATTATTAGTTTGGTTTCAATGACTTTCCCATTCAAAACAAATCAAACATCTAATGAATACTTTAAAACTTCAATAAATTTTATTAAAGTAGATTGTAGTGGATCCATGTAGGAGTTTCAGCTATTTACCTCAATATATTAAATTTGAACTTTTATTTTTAAACAAAAATAATTTTAAAATTTGTTCCCTTTTTATTATACTATGAGATTTTTCTAATATTGAGATTTATTATAAAAAAAAATGTTTTAATTTTTATAATTTATTTCTTAATTTTTTAAAAAATATCTTTTTAAATTTAATCCTATTTAGCATAATAGAATATTGATTATTAATAATGAATTTTTTTAATTTGTATAATTTATTAAAATTTTAAAAAAATCATGTAATTTTTATCAAATTTACCTTGTTTGGTTCTTATCGAGTAGTGGATCAATTGAAAATTAATGTGTGTGACCTAGTGTTTTATTTTCTCTCCTTTTAACATGCGATTCTATTGTGAAAGATGAGGCCAAATTTACAGTTACCAAATTGGTTCACAGGCCTTTTTAACATGTACTTTTTTATCTCCTTTTCATTTTCTTTTTATAATCTAAATAGGCAAAGACAAATTTTACTCTTTATCCAAACAAATTACAATACAATTTTCATCAAAATTTTCTTCCTAATATTTTTCTTATTTCTTTCTTCTCCGTTTCTCTCACTCTCAAACAAGATTGAAAGCCTTCTTCTGAATCCACAATTAATAATTTTGTTTAATAAAGTTAGTTTAAGTGCTAGTTAATGAAAGGTTTTCTGGTTTTCTTTTCAGCAAACTGGCAAGTTAGTTCTAGAATTTGACTATTGCAATAATCGGATCATCAACACTGATTTACAAGGGATGATGTCAAAGCATTCCTTATAAAATCACATTCCTTCTTAATAGTTGTTTCTTCCAAAGAGTTGAATCATGTCAAAGCACCATTTATAATTACAATCAATGAATTATGTACTAGAAAATGCTTGCGGCAGCAAAAACCTTTTTGGTTATCTGATTGCCAATAAAAGTGAAAGATCATCACATTCAAAAGTGTGCTAATTGAAAATGAATTAGCTATCACTAACAATGATATAGTGTGACGTGACACAGGCAGGGGGGCCATATTACCAAGTGAAGAAAGGAAGATGGGATGGAAAAATATCAATGGCATCAAGGGTGGGACCCAACATTCCTCATGCAAACTCCACCGTTGATCAACTCATCAAACTCTTCAATTCAAAGGGGTTAACCATACAAGACATGGTTGCTCTTTCTGGGGCCCACACAATTGGGTTCGCCCATTGCAAGCAATTTGTGACCCGCCTCTACAATTACCGGGGCAAGGGTCAACCCGACCCAGATATGGACCCAAAACTATTGCATGCACTAAGATTGTATTGTCCAAACTTTGGTGGAAATTCAGACATTGTTGCCCCATTTGATGCCACGACACCATTCATATTTGACCATGCCTATTATGGTAACTTGCAAAATAAGATGGGCTTGCTAGCTTCTGACCAAGCTTTGGTTTTGGACCCGCGAACCAAGCCATTGGTTCAAGGTTTTGCAAAGGATAAGCAAAAGTTTTATCAAGCTTTTATAGCTGCCATGGACAAACTGAGTTTGGTCAAAGTTGTGAGAGGGAAAAAGCATGGGGAGAAAAGAAGAGATTGTAGCATGCATGTGTGAGAATTGAGGTACAATTAACTAATTTACACAATTCTTGCATTTATAACTGGATACGTGACTGACTTCACCAGAACTTTTCTTTTATTAAGTTCATGTTGAAACTCTAAAATGGTTTTTTGCAGTTATAAATGCAATAGTTGTTCAGATATTGTTTGTTAAGGTTAATCTTTTATTTCTTTTTTTCATTTGTTTCGTCTAATTTTGTGTTTCCAGTCGAACAGAGGTAACGTTGTATTTAACCGGTTGTTTTAATGTATTCCTTGCGATGATGGGTTTTTATGATACAGTTTTGTTTTAATGCACAAAAATTTGTACATTACGTTTATATATATACTCACAATAATCAATATGTGCCCTAAAAAAATTAAAAAACATATATAAATAAGGAAATTCTGCCAATTTAGGGATTAAGATACCCTCTTTATCTGATTAAATAAATTAATGCCAAGTGTATTAGTAATTTTATATTTTTATTAAAATAAAGTTAAATATTAAAACATAGTACCTATCATTGCTAGAAACATGTTTCTAAAATTACCATCGTTATTGCCTTCTTTCAAGAACTCAGACAACTTCTTTGAGCTTAAGTTTGCAAAAGATAAAGTTTCCTTTCCTCTGGTTGGTTGATTTGTTTGTTTGTTTTTTTTAAGTTTTATCCTTTTTTGAGTTACATATATTAAATTACTTTAACTTAAATGTACAAGTTAGTTTCTAATTTTTCACCTGAAGGGCCAAATACATGTTGTCTCTCAAGCATGTCAGAAATAAATCAAGTACACTGCAAATTTTAGTTGGACCAAATTTTACTTCATAATAAAGTAACAAAATTTTATTGGAGTTTCTTGAAGGCAACAACATTATAATTATAAGTGCATACAAAGTCTGTTGCACATAATTCTACAAACCTGGAAATATTAGAAATTGAAGTTGCAGGGATTAATAATTATAGTCCATAAATTGTAATGGTCAAAAGAAAAAGATTGCACGTTCACAAAGCAATAAATTGTTAGGCCACTTTCTCTTCCTTCATATATGGGTTTCTTAAATATAATATTATATTTGTTTATAAAGCCTATAAAAAGGTCTCTTCTTGTACCATGTAATATGTAATCAAGGTCAATATTAGTCAATGAAATATTGAGAGAAAGTTTTAATTCTCTTCCTCTTAGTTCCTTTTGTGTGATTTTTTTTTTTTGTATTACTATTTCTATTTGATTACAAATTGGTATTAGAGCTAGTTAGATCCAACACTAGTTTTGTGAGTTTGTGATAGAGTCAGTATTAAAAAATATTGAGTGTGTAAGGAACAAGAGAATTTTTACTTTTTTAAAAAAAATTGAGTTTATTTGAGAAACAGAAATGGCCACAAATTATAATATTGTTTGGTCTAATCCTAAATTAGATAGGAAACTAGATTATAATTATTGGGCATTGTTGATGTCCACCTATTTGAAAGCTTACAATATTTGGAGCTGTATTGAACCAGGCCTACAACAAAGAGCTGATGATGCTGCTCAAAGAAAGGACTAGTTGGTATTATTACAAAACAACCAAAGAAAAGGAGTAGGTGTAGACTATTCATTTTTTGGCAAAATAACAAATGCTAAAACAGTCAAAAAAGCATGAGACATTTTGAAGCTGTCACACAAAGGAGTAGAGAAAATTTAGAAATCCAAATTGCAATCCATGTGTCGAGAATATGAAAGATATGAAATGTCCAATTTAGAAACTGTGGAACAATATTTTTCATGAGTAACAAATCTTGTCAACAAGATGAGGATGTATGGAAAAGATATTCCTAAAAGTAAGGTGGTGAAAAAAATTCTACGCACCATGCCGATAAAGTTTAATTATGTGGTGACTACAATAATTGAGTCTCATGACACAGACACCGTGATAGTTGCAGAGTTGCAAGGTAGTACTGAAAGTTATGTGAGCATAATCTTGGAGAAAACTAAAAAAGTAAATGAAGAAGCCTTGAAGAGTTAGGTAAATTTTACCAACGTAGCGAAATCTAGCTAAAGTGAAAACGGTAGAGATCGAGAAGGTGAAAATATAAATTTCAGAAGTAGAGGTCGTGACAGTTTCAGAGGAAGAGGTCATTGTAATTTCAATCAACAATGGAGAAACAACAATCTCAGGCCACCTAATTAAGGAATAGGTGAATACACTTTTAGATCTATCAACCATGGAAGAGAAAAAGGCAACACTGCCAAGAAAGGACAAATTTCAATTGATATCAGTGTGGAAAGTTCAGACACAGAGCTACAAAATGTAGATTCAAACAATAGGCAAATATAGTAGAAAATCAATATCAATATACTGGTGAGAGTTTTGATAACCTACAAACTTTACTTCTAGCAGTAAACAATTTTGCAGGCAATGGAGATATTTGATACTTAAATACTGGTTGCAGCAACCACATGTGTGGATAAAAAGAGTTATTTTCCTCACTAAATGAATCGGTAAAATCTATCGTAAAATTTAAAAATAACTCAAATATTCTGATTTTGGAGAAAAGCAAAGTTGCTATTAGGTTGAAGGATGATTCTCAAAATTTCATTTCTGATGCTTTCTATGCTCTTGGTCTTCATGACAACCTGTTGAGCATAGGACAATTACCAGAGAAAGGTTACAACATGCGGATTTGTGATGGCTACTGTAAGTTGATTGACAAAATGACCATTATACAAAACAATGATTGGTTGTGGCATATTTGTTTTGGGCATTATCTCTTTTCTTGATTGAATTATATATCTAGAAAAGAGTATATATATGGTTTGCCCGTTATAAACATTTCTAAAGGTGTATGTGAAACTTGTGAAATTGAAAAGAAGTACAGAGAATCTTTTCCAACTAAAAAATCCTGGAGAGCAAGAAAGCTATTAGAGATTATCCATTCAGATTTATGCATGGTTGAGATTCCAACACATAGTGGTAGCAAATATTTCATCACTTTTATTGATGACCTTAGTAGAAAAGCTTGGGTGTATTTTTTGAAACAAAAATCAGAAGCTTGTGATGTCTTTAGGTCATTTAAGGCATTTGTAGAAAAGCAAAGTGGATGCAGGATTAAAGCACTAAGGATTGACAGAGGCCAATAGTACCTTGCATGTGTAGATTTCCTTGATCAACATGGAATTTAGCATCAACTGACAACAAGATACACTCCTCAGCAAAATGGAATAGCAGAAAGGAAGAACAGGACATGGTGAGATACATGCTAATGGCTAAATAATTGCCCAGAGAATTTTGGGCAGAAGCAATTTCTACTGTTGTGTATATTTTGAACAGGTATCCAACAAAAAGTGCTTGTGATAAAACACCAGAAAAATCTTGGAGTGGAAAGAGGCCCTCAATCCAACATCTCAGAGATTTTGGGTGTATAACATATGCCCATGACAAAATCAACTCAGAAAGAAACTTAATAACAAAGGAGAGAAGTGCATCTTCGTTGATTACAACACCAACTCAAAGGCTTACAAGCTTTATAACCCAATGACAAATAAGGTAATTATCAGCAGAGATATGACCTTTGATGAAGAAAGAATGTGGGATTAGTATTCCAAAGCCTAAAGGGAGTTTGTCATAATTCCAGAAAAATATGAAGAGAAGGATGGACAGTAGATCCAACACTTGATGAATCAGAAATATCAGACAGACCATAGAGGCAACAAAGACTACTAGCCATATTGGAGTATTATGTTATGGGTAATGATAATGACCCATCTGATGAAGAAATTATAAACTTTGCTTTATTTGCATATTGTGAACTAGTAACTTTTGAAGAAGCCATTGATGATCATAATTGGAGAAAAGCAATGAATAAAGAAATTCATGCCATTGAAAAGAGTCAAACATGGTAACTGACAGACTTACCAGCAAATAAAAGGCCAATTGGAGTGAAGTGGGTGTGCAAAACTAAGTACCAACTCAATGGAGAAATTGATCACTTCAAAGCAAAGTTAGTGGCAAAAGGATATAAGCAAAAGTCAGGTATTGATTATTTTGAGGTATTTAATCCTAGAGCGAGATTATATACAATCCATATGCTTATTTCTTTATCAGCTCAAAATAATTGAAAAATCCATCAAATGGGTGTTAAGTTTGTTTTCTTAAATGGTACTTTCGAAAAAGAAGTGTATGTTGAGCAACCTGCAAGATATGAGATTGAAGGCAAAGAAGATAAAGTCTGCAAGTTGAAAAAAGCATTGTATGGTTTAAAACAAGCACCCAGGGCATGGTACAAAAAAATTGATTCTTACTTTGTATTAAACAATTTTCAGAGATGCCCGTTTGAGCATACTTTGTATATCATATTTGTTGAACTTAATGATATTCTTATTATGTGCCTTTATGTTGATGATCTAATCTTTACTGGCAACAATCCAAAGATGATTGCAAAATTCAGGGAGGCCATGATTAGATATTTTGAGATGACAGATTTGGTCCTAATGTCATATTTTCTTGGCATTGAGGTCGTTCAACAGGATGATAGAATTTTCATCTCTCAAAAGAAGCATGCTACAAACATTTTGAAGAAATTTAAAATGGAGAATTCAAAACCAATCTCAACACCTGTTGAAGAAAAATTGAAGCTTAAAAAGGATAGTGATGAAAGAAGAATTGATTTAACATACTACAAGAGCTTGATTGGAAGTCTCAGATATTGACTGCTAGGAGACTAGACATTGTGTTTGGAGTTAGACTGCTCAGCAGATTCATGGAGGAGCTACAAGTTTGCCACTTGCAAGGAACAAAGAGAATTTTCAGACACATCAAAGGTACTTTGACCGCAGGAATTTTTTATGCTAATAATTCTAATGTAAAACTGGTTGGATACACAGACAGTGACTAGGCAGGAGATATTGAGATAAGAAAAAGCATGTCAAGATGTGCATTTCATCTTGGAATAGGTGCAGTATCATGGTCCTCGAAGAAATAAGTAACAATTGCACTCTCAACAGCCAAAGCAGAATATATATGGCTTTAACAAGTTGTGCTACACAAGGAGTATAGATGAGAAGGATGCTTGAAGTAATGCATTAGAAACAAGACACTCCCACAATGATCTTTTGTGATAACAAATCTACAATTGCACTTTCTAAAAATCCAATTTTTCATAGGTGGTCCAAGCATATAGACATTCGATTTTACAAAATTCGGGAGCTAGTAACTGAAAATGAAGTAGTGATCGAGTATTGTCTTACTAAAAAACAAGTTGCAGATATTTTTACAAAGCTACTGAAAGCTGAGTTATTTTACAAACTAAAGAAAATGTTCGGAATGATTAATATGCACACTTGATTTAAGGGAGACAATGTCATAAATAAATCAAGTACAACGCAAATTTTGAATTGGAGCAAATTTTACTTCATGATAAAGTAATAAATTCTTATTAGAGTTTCTTGAAGGCAACAACATTATAATTATAGGCATCCACAAAGTCATATTGTTGCACATAATTCTACAAACTTGAAAATATTAGAAATTGAAGTTGCAGAGGACTGATAATTATAATCCACAAATTGTAATGATTAAAAAAAAAGGTTGCACATTCACAAAGCAACAAATTGTTAGGCCACTTTCTTTTCCTTATATGAGCTTTTTAAATATAATATTATAGTAATTTATAAAACTTATAAAAAGGTCATGTGATATTCAATCAAGGTTAATAAAATATTTAGAGAAAATTTTAATTCTCTTTCTCTTAGATCCTTTTACGTAAATTTGTCTTTTGAATTACTATGTCTATTTGATTACAAAGCAGCTTCTAATGTTTTCATTTCCTCATTGCTGCTAACTATATGATCCATCTCGCAACATAGCATGACCTTGATGGATTGTTTTTTCTGTTTCAACGAGAGAAGCAACTATCAAAGCTGCAAACTGAAATGAGAAAGAACAACAAAACAAATGAAGTACATCTTCTGCAGCTAGGTGCAACGATGCCCGGTTGCGTGATTGAAGATAGAAGAAATCGTCTATGGATGGGTAGACTTTTAAACGTTAAAATATTAAATTACTTATAAGAAATAGAATGCAAAACATAAAAAATAAATTTTAATAAATCACATGTTACTTTAATATATATACTTGGCATTAATCTATTTGTCTATTCAAAGGGCAGCAGGTACTCTAACCCGAGCAATGGCCTCTAAATAATTGATGACCAAATATTGGTCATGTAAAATAGTAAGGATTAATGAATTTTTTTTTATAAAATTTGCACAATTTAAACTTAATTTATATAAAATATTTTGTTAAAACCTTTTTTTTTTTTTACTTTTTACAAAATATTCATTTTAGTTCATTCAATTAACATAATCCATTAGAACATTGTTAAGTGTTAATTTTTAGTTGAATAATATTAGTTTAAAAAAATTAAAAATAATAGCTCTTGAAAAAGTAAGAAATATATTTTAATAAAATATTTTATAGAGATTAAATTCAAATCATGTAACTTTTGTAAAGATTAAACACTTAATTAAGGTAAATAATAATTCATTTTATCAATGTTAGTGTGCAATTTCTATTGAATCAAGTAGAGAAATTATATTTATCAATATACTTACAATTATCAATTTTACAAATTCTATTGATCCAGGTAGAGAGAAATTTAAATTTTCTTGAATAAGACCTTGATTTCAATTTGAAAAGTTTTTACTCTTTAAATGGATTTATCTAGTTTGACTTGTATTAATAAAATAATAATAATGTAATTTTAAAAGAACAAGAATGTTGATAAAAACAAATATTTTTGTTTATGACATTGAAGTTAATTCATGGCAATTCGAGTTAACAAAAGAAATATGAGTTAGAATTTGGAAATGATCTTGTAAGAGTGACTTCCCGGACCCCAAATATCAATATGCACTGTAATTTAAAAAATATGCCCTGAATATAACCTTTCGAGTGGGAGAGTGAATTAGTTAATTGCTCAATTAAATTTACTTGCCTAACTAAATGATCCAAATTCGAATTTCAGCTTAATTATTTGTGTTAACTTTATATTTTGTAAGCTTGATATTAATAATCCATAAATAATTTGTGTATATTTCTTTAAAATTTATAATTTTATTGGTTACATTTGTATAGAGAAACATAAGTCAAGAACTAGGTGTCATACAAGTACCATAATCTTTTTTTATTAAATTAATCTTAAAGCATCTTTTTAAAATCAAATTTCATATTTTATGTTTGCTTCATCTAACATTAAGAAGTTTACTAAATATTAAACTAATAAATTTAAAACTAATTTAAGAAAAGTTTAATAAAAGAAATAACAATCAAATAATAGAGATGTTAAATGAATCAAGCTAAAGTTATATGTTCAAACTAGTTAAACCGAGCATTTAATCACACATTTATCCTTTTATTATGATCAAAGTGCAATTTTTTTCGCCCAATAATATTTTACTCAAATTCAATCCCCAGTTTTTTTAGTTGTTATAATTAAACACATCATTTTTTTTTCCTACATCAAACAGTTGGAAATTTAAAGAGTTTGAAAAGTTAAGGATTTCAAAAACTAATCATTTGATAAAATTTAAAAAGTTTCTAAGATGTAAGATAAGGGTTTGGAACTTTCATTTTAGGTAAAATGTTTTAGATTAATGGATTTTGCGCAACATAAAATTTGAAATATTCTAAACAAATCAATTCAGAGTTTATAAGTAAAAAAAGAAAAGAGAGAAGTTTATATGTTTCAGGAAGAAAAACTATCTAAGACTTAATTTTAGCAATTAAAATGTTTTGAGAGACTAAATTCAAGGAAAAAAAGTGTCAAATTACACATTAGCCACAACAGGAATAAAAGTAAAATTAAATTAAACACTTAAACCTGAGGAACATGGTTTTTCACAAACCAAACATGAACATTAAATATTTAGCTTGAACTCATTTATACCCTTAATTCCTATGCTATCTTCAAAAATCAAAATCCTACAAATTACAGCAGGTGATTAGAATTTGGATGGATTCCCGCTTTACGCTACCATCTTGCACACTTAGGCTCTTACCTTATAAGAAAACAAAAATGTTAGAACCATGGCAGAAGAGCAAATGATTAATATCAATAAGAAACTTATGAAGTGTGGAAGCTTTATGTTAGTAGGAAGGGTAGAACTATAAATAGAGGGTTAGTTCGAAATTGAAGGGGTTCTTTTTCTTGATTATTGTTTTGGGGAGAATTTCATTCTCAGTGCATTAGCTCCAGAGGATTCATTGTAATTTAAATTCTTTCTTAAGTAATTAATAAAACCATCAATTTTCTCCAATCTTTTCATTGATGTCACTTCCGAACCCTAACAAAAAATGTCTCTAACAAGTGTCATTTGAAATGTAATCTGCTTCTAGTCGATATATATAGTTACAATTACCCCAATAAGTAACATATACATCTTCCTGGTTCCTTGCAGCTGCAAAATAATGGAACGTGTCAGAAACATAAGATGATATTAGTCATATCTACCAGATTGGTGCAGAAAATGTCATTGATCAATGCAAGTATGCAACTCTAAAGTCTAACAATGCTCTATTTTGAAAAAGAAAAAATAAATCTCAAACGTTAATATAAAAGTTGACAAAAACAGAATTTTTCATGTTAGTTAGGGATTGAAAGCTAAGATATATACAACCAACCTACTCAGGATCCAAACTGACAGCAGTTTTGTAGACTGAAACAATGGTGGTTTATTAAATACAGTTGCATAGAGTTGATCCTGTGTTAACAGACAGAACGAGCCAATCAAATCAATGCAGTTACTTACACTTCTATGACTTCATGGAGATAATAGCTGCTGCAGCAAATAGTGCCTCTTTTCCTATCGACACAATCTCCATATGCCTACACCATCACAGTTACCAAATTAGAAAATTGTCTAAGGAACTAAACAGAAGGACTTCACAGGTTACCCCACCCCACCCAAAAATGGGATTTTATAGGATCTGTTCAAAGCTTTGATATACACAAGCATGCAAGGAAACTGAAATTATAGTGGTTTCATATGCTACTAGCAATTCTAATCATTCTCTCTGTAAGCAAATAAATATGATCAATAGTTGTAATATCCCAAGTCATACAAATAAAAAGTAAGCAAGCATTGTAAAAATAAAAATCCTCAAAAAAGGTTCCTTTACTCGTATGTGCTTCTCAAACTATCAAAAGCAGAGATAAAAGTCCGGCACAAATCCACAAGAGCACTGGCTCTTCCTTCTTTGTCAGGAGCAATGTTGTCATCAGCATCTCCATCTGACAACATTGACAATTGAGCCTGAAAGGCAGGAAAAAACCATTAAAAAAAGAACTAGTTTTAGAAACTCCCGTACATTTTTCAAGTGTGAACTAATATTTTAGCTTCCCAAGGGATAAATTGACTGGTCTCATACGCAGAAAGATTCAAATAGAAAAATCTCTAGTTAGTCCCCTAGTCCCATGAGGTAAATAGCTATCAAAGTGATCATTATCTAACATCTGGGATTAAGGAAGTTCTTTGTCTATTATGCAAATGGGGTTTGTTTTCCTTTTGTTCTGGTGTTCTTGCTGTGTCTACTATGCAAAGGGATTAAGGAAGTTATGCAAAGGAGGATTACCAATCTTTTGGGAGTTAGGACAACCAGTTAGAATAGTTATAATATTAATCTAGAGGTTAGGGAGTTAAACAAATAGGAAAATGTAAGAATGGGGGAAACTTTTTACTATCTTATATGATTTGGCAAATAGAGCTTTGCTCTTTGTGAAAGAAATCCTTTGTGAAGGGGAAGCACTTGGAGGAGAGACATCTCTCCTTTTTTTCCATTCAACCTCATTTTCAGTACAGTATTTCTTTAATTTTCCCAAATTCTGTTCTTAGTTTGTATCACAATCTTCAACCCTTGTACCCCTTTATCTACAGTAGTTTTCTATTATGTCAATCAAATCAATATATACTGTGCATTGATTCATTGAATAAAGACAAGTACCTGAAAACCATGAGCAAGAAGGAACTGAACTACATCTGCACCAAGTTTTTTAATTAAGCTCTTGGCACCAGTTTTATTTGAGAAGCACTTCAAAGCCCCATCAAATGTTGGATCTTCAGCATGATCATTTGACTTACGTGTGCAAACAGAAGGCTGCATATTTGTATATAATAAAGGTAGTTAAATTAAGAAATAATCAAAAGCTACTGGCCTACTACTGATGGAGCCTTTCTTTCAGGAGGAAGAAAGCATATTAAGAAAGTACGATAGATTTTCAACCAGTCTACCTGTATATTACCTTGGTTATGTATTTCCACAGATACTGCACAACTATTTCCAGCTTCCAATTAGGTTCGCGGAAGTTCTGAAGCCACTCTCATGAAAACAGAAGAAAATATTAGCCACAACATAACTATTAACTCCCATAAAAAAAAATGACTTGAAACTGGAATTTGGAAAGGTTAACAAGTAGCTATAGTGCTATACAACTAAGATTTGTTAAATGACTCAAATCCAATATTAGACAGCAGATACTATGTAAATAGCGGTAAACTAAACCCCCATGTGTTACTTGGGAGATTGGTTTGATTTACATCTTGATCAGCAGTTATGTCCAAGCAGAGCTTTTGAAAGGAAAAGCATATCCCAATCTTATACATTATTATTTCACCTAGCCCCACATACAGACAGTTATGTGCAAAAATAGAGAAGCATGTAAGAGGAATAGAGAGTGGGGAAGGGCAGAGAGTCAGTATTCAGGTGCTACCTTAAGAAAAACAGGCACAGCATCTTTGCTGTAAGCTAGTTCATCAAGAATTATGTCCATCAACGGTGTTCTGTACCAAATGCACCAAAATACAATTTTGCAAATAATTCATCAGAAGCATGGCCTATAAAGAAACATGAAAATCAACTGAAAGCTCCAAAATTGTGAAGAAGGAAAATCAAAAGCAAACTACCTTGCACCATCTGCTCTTGTAGTGTGACCTTCAATATCTGCTTTCTTCCTTGCCATATCTAGGTCCATAATCTAAAATCACTGAGAATGTAAGTGAAAACAGAAGACTTGTTTAAAGTTTACATACATACAATGAATGGAATTTTTCAGGAACTTACCATCACCAAAAGTTTCTCCATAGAGACACGTGTGTTCTTTAATACTACAAGTAAACCAAGAGATAATGCAGTATAACAATTTTTGGATAATTGAGATTCAGAACTTTCTTGCTCTAGATATTTACTGCATTCATTTTGAAGATGTTGAGATAGTTGACAAATAATTGTCATACAATTCTTCATCAAACTTTTGTAATTTATTTTCCTAGACACCTGCAAAAACTAGATAAGATACATATTTCTGCAAAAAAAGAAAAAAAAAACTAAAAGGAAAATCTTTCAAGTTGGCAGAATCAAGATGCTTAAGATTTCAACAGTAAATATGAAAAGAATAGTATTAGCTATCACATACTTAGCACATAAATCAATATGATTAGTTGTTGATTGGTTAGTCACAAAATTTTCTTTACACAATAAGATCAATATGCTTTTGGCTTGAAAAACAAATACCAGTAACAGGTTGAGCAAAGACTCCCTCTGCATGCTCCAGTTCAAGGTGTCTGCAACAGAACAGTTCTTAGAATTTACAAGTAGTTTGAGGAACAATGACAGCAGATATGAGTTCAACTTCATACATACCATTACGAGGTAGAAAATCGCCCTCAAAAACAGTGATAATATACTGAAAGAGTAACATGTTCTGAAAGGGCTGCAACAATCATGTAATGATATCAGACCAGGGCACACATATACAGGAGATGTACCAAATGAGAGGCTTACTCTTGTGTAAGAGTGAGAGAAGTTAATATTGATGATTAAATCGTACCACGAATAGTCAAGATTAAAACATAAAAGTCATGTCAAAATTTTAAATTAATCATGTGAGTCTGTGACTTATTGTCCATATACCATTGTATAGCTAAGATTTGCTCCTTTCACCTATGCACACACATAGGCACACTTACACACACAAGTCATGCTGACATTTTAAACACGCACAAATCTAAAACATGTAAATGTAAAATATAGCTAAAAGTAGATCATTATTTATTATTGTATAGCTAAGATTTGCTCTTTACACAAACCATGTTGACATTTTAAATTAGTCATGTGATTTTATCATCCATACATGATTGTACAACTAAGATTTGCTCCTTTCACCTATGCACACATGCATGAACTCATACACACACAAGTCACGTTGACATTTTAAACGCGCAAAAATCTGAAACATGTAAATGCAAAATATAGCTAAAAGTAGACCACATATTATACCCTCAATTGGAAACAGAACATTACAATTAATGTATGTCTACTTTTAGAGACATGCAAAACAAGTACCAGTGCGATTCTAGATAGGAATGTAAAATATTAGTGAACTAACCCGCACGCTTGCTGCTTGAACGTTGATGTCAGCTAAAATTTCAGTGAGCTCTTCGATCAGAAGCTGAAAGCTCTAATGTAGGTAGAGATCATAAAGAATGAAAATGAGTATAAAAACTCAACATTAAATTGACTTGAGGACACACGCGCACATATTTTGATTGAACTGCAGTGCTTTTATTAGTTATGAATGGTATTGAAAATTTATCTATCTTCTTATATTATGCAACAAAATAAAATTAGTATAGATTATCTAAAGTAAAGGAATAGCTTTATTTCCTTGCCTGATGCCAATACAGTACACTAAATTATCATAAATTTCTAAGAAATATGCAAAATGTGAACATAAGTGAAATGCTCTATCACTGATCCACCACTATATTTCACCATGTATTTGAAAATAATTTGGAACTTTACAGACAGAAATAAGTTGTTGGTTATAAAATCAACTAAAGCTATATACTTCAACTGCAGCAATCATACAAGCAGATACTTAATTAGATTTTCATAAATTTGTAGAAAAAAAATAGGAAGGAAATATGAATGCACCAAGAAAATAAAAGAGAAAGAGAAAAGGTTAAGAAAAAATAAGCAGTAATTCTGTACATACTTTGAAATGCATAAAAAATTTTCAAGTTACAAATTCTTACTTTTTGGGGGGGGTCACATAAGGATAGGAAAAAAAAGAGTAATCATGGCAGCAAAAATTGTTGCAACTAAATGAAAGAACTAACAGACTATAAGGATAAAGTTGAGTGCATAGGAAACCAACTCACAGAGGGGTCAAGAGGTCCACTAGACTGTTTGCCACCCACTTCACTAACAGCAGCAGTGGCATTATCCATGCAACTAATAATGGGAGACCATGCCTAGTGGAAATTACTATATATGTGTAAGTAAATAAGTAAATTCAACCAGTATCCCACACTACCATTATATTTACCCATAATAGAACAAAAGTAACCAATTGTGATGACTTAGAGTCATTCATACCTCTTTCACCACAACCAATTTTGAAGGAGAGTTAGAGGTGGATTGGCAATCATCTACATCAGATAAATACACACGGGGGAAATGCTAAACCCAAAAAGAAATCACACATGTAAAGGAAACAGTTACTTTTAGGACCTATGAATATAAAGATAGTAAGTTATGACTCATGTTGCGGTCAAAATACCTTGTCTAAATCAACCAGAAGCTTATAACTTCCCATAATCAACTCTAAAGACTTCCCCGTCCTCAGCATGTGGAAGACCGCCCCAAAAATTTTTCTTGACGACGGAAAATAATAAAGGTTCCGTACACAGTAAGTAATAGACACAAAACACGATTCATACTCCTAAATAGAACCGCTTTTGGAGGAAAAGAAACCACACATTTGAGAGAAATGCTAGCAATACATTCTTTCAAATACACTCTTTGTTATTGGTTGAAATTTATTGAAAATCACAAAAATCACGTCAGTCTCACAATTTACTGAATCTCATTTATACTTTTATAATTTTTAATAAATTTTAACTAATAATTGAGACTATATTAGAATGCGTGAGTTGCTAGCACTCTTCTACATTTGAAATGGGGCATGACGGTTTTAGGCACTCATGCGAGAGAGAGAGAGAGAGAGAGACAGAAACTTACGAAGTGGGGGGTTTTCCATGTTCAGGCACAATTGAAGAAGCACGAACAGCATCAAGAAAAGCAATTCCTACATATAAGAACACAAAAGGTAAAGCAAAAAATATAACCATTTGGCATTTAGCATTCACTTGCAAACTAGCAGTTTATGGTTTTTTTCATGCCCACAAAAGAAACTTAGAACCAATTTCCACTCAAGTTTTCTTTTTCCGATTACCCAAAGGTCCAATTAGCCTGAACACATGCACGGACGCGTTGGAGTATTAAGCGAAAATGGGAAGAAGAAAAAAATATAAAAGTTAATAAGAAACAGAAAAAAGAGTGTGATGTGTACGGTCATCGAGTGCATCTTGATGAGCATCCTTAGCTTCGGAGGCATCAAACATGGCCAACATGTTATCTTCAATCCCTGCTCTGTTCCATCTTTCACTCCCGCTAGGGTTCTCCATTTTCGCTTCTCTTCTCAAACAAAACTGAAATAAAGTCACCTATATTTTCACGCTGATGTTGTTGAGAATTTGACGAAGTTATTTTAAAAAAATTAATAAAAGTGCAATCTGAAAATTTAGTACAAACAAAATCAGGAGTTTAAGATCTTCCCGCCAAAACTTGGTAGATGGATAACATCGATCAAAGTCGTCTCACTTTACCGATTTTGGGAAGTTGAAAAAGGTTTAGAATTTATTTTTGTTATAAAATGTCAATGTTAAAATTCGGAAATATTGAATCGTTAGATATCCTACTTTTGAGATTACTGATTTCAATTTGATTGAATCCTAATTAAACAGGAGACAAGTTAAATATATTTTTTAATAATATATAATACATTGAGTGAAAAATAACTTCAAAATATAATAACTTAGTTAAATAAATGTTTATATTAAGGTGAAAGATAAATTAACTTACAAATAACGTAGTAAAATGACAATCTAGGTTTTAAAAATTTATAAATTAATTCTTATCAAATTTTATAGATAAATGATATAAATCTTCTAAATATTTAAAATAAGTTGTTTTTTAACATATTTTTTTTTAAAGTTAAAAAAGAATATAATTACTTATTCACATAAATCATATCATGTTCTCTCAAACTCACTTCCATATTTACTTTTGAAAAAAAAGTTAGTTAATCCTCTTTTGAAATATTGTCGTAGAAATTTTGTTTAATTTTTCTTTCTTCTATTTCAATTCTTTTTTTTATTTCTCCTCCTTAATAGTATGCAAACTTGTTTGTCATATCTACTATAAACCTTAAACTCACATAATCATTCTCCTTTTCGGTTGTTATACTCTCAATTGTAAAGTTTTCTTATTTAAAAATATTATATATTCATCTCAATTATCTTAAAAATCATCATTTTTGTTTAATTAGAATAAGGGTAATGATTAAAGAGATTTTGTTGAACTAGAAACAACGCACGAATTCACTTCGCTATAAATTTAGCTTAAGTCAGAATTATCCACTTAAACTAAATTTACACAGAGATAAATCTAATTTGTTCGTCAAATTCGCTTAAGCTAAAAAATATACGCTTAAACTAATTAAAGACCAAGATGAATTTAAAGTTTTCGTCAAAGTTAGCTTAAGCCAAAACACATGAGCTTAAGCGAATTAAAGACATAAATGAATCTAACACACATTCGCTTAAGTTCATAGGTTGTGGCTTAAGCCAATCTAAGACAGAGAAGAATCTAATTTGTTCGTTAAATTCGCTTAAGCTAACACATATACGCTTTAGCTAATCAAAGACTAAGATAAATTTAAGTTTTTCGTCAAAATTAGCTTAAGCCACAGCTTATAAGCAAATTAAAGACATATATGACGGTAACACACGTTTGCTTAAGCTTATTGGTTGTGGCTTAAGCTAATCTAAGACAAAGATTAATTTAACATACTCGTTATAATTAGCTTTAGTTTAGCTAAAGCGAATTACAGCTTAGTTAAAGTGATATTTCATTTAAAAACATTAATTATTTTTCTATAAAAAGGCTTAAATCCACGTTATGATTAGTAAAAATGACAGTAATAAAATATATTTGGCAAGCACAAAGTTGTAAAAAATTTATATTATAATAATATTTTATGTTGTCAGCTTTTGAGGTAAGGATATTGTTTAAGTGAATTTAACTTTTAATTGTCATACATCTCTTACTTCATGTTAATTTTTAAAAGATTAATCATCTTATTTATACAAGATGACATGATTTGGATTTTGTAAAAAGTGTTCAGAATTTGATAATATATAAATAAATACATGGAGAATAATATGAGCAATGTAGTAGAAGGTAACTTGTTTCCCGATGTACTTGGATCAATAAAGGTATCATTAAAGTTAGTTGAATAGTAGTACAATATTTTTACCTTGAATTCAAATTATATTTTTGAAAGTGTTGTTTGCTTTTGGTATAGGGATTGAATAAAATTTTGTTAGACATAGAACATGAAAGTGAATTTCATTTTGAAAATGAAGACAGAACTGAAGTTGAGGAAACTTGCGTTGTCTTGAAGACAGAACAAGAGGCATAGTTGTAGGGTTTTGGAAATTCTCTTATTTTTCAAATATCAAGACAAAAGGTATACATTCAATATATATAAGGATTTTTCCTCCTAAACTTACGTTCCCCTATTAATCTAGTGAGCTGTTTATAAATAATTTACAAGAAACATATTATTAACAAATTCTAAATATAAAAGGAATTTATATGATTGACAATCAATCAACAATAATTTAACACTCCCTCTCATGTTGGTGCATAGATGTCACACATGCCTAACTCGACTAAAAATGCAGAAAACACTCGATTTGAGACTGGTTTAGTGAGAATATTAGCCAATTGGTCCTCTAATTGAATTTTAGGCAATTGCAAAATGTCCTTGTTCAGCTTTTCCTTAATAAAAAATCTGTCCACCTCAACACTTTTTGTACGATCATGCTGAACAGGATTATGGGCAATATCACAAGCTGCTTTGTTGTTACAATACAATTAAATTGGTTGTCTAGATGGATATCCCAAATCTTGTAAAAGGTTTCTCAGCCATAATGCTTCACAAAGAGCTAGTGCCATATCTCTAAATTCAGCTTCTGTACTTGAGCGAGCAATAACATTTTGTTTCTTACTTTTTCATGTAACAAGATTACCACATACAAAAGTGAAGTATCCTGAAGTTGACCGTCTATCATTTATTGATCCTGCCCAGTCCGCATCTGTGTATGCATCTATGCTTTAATAATCTGAATTTTTTGTGAATAGAATTCCCTTTTTCCTGGGGCAGATTTCAAATATCTTAAAATTTGCATGACTTCATTCATGTGTTGCTTGTCGGGGTTATGCATATATTGACTTATAATGCTTAATGCATAAGCAAGATCAGGCCTTGTGTGAGCTAAGTGCATCAATCTTCCAACAAGTCTCTAGTATCGCTCTTTATTAATAGGTACTTGATTAGGATCTACACACAATTTTAAACCTTCCTCTACTAGTGTATCAATAGGTTGACATTCTAACATTCCAGTTTCCTGTAAAAGATATAAGGCATATTTTCTTTGAGATAGAAAGATCCCTGCATTTGATTGAGATACTTCAATTCCAAGAAAATATTAAAGAGGACCTAGATCTTTCATTTCAAATTCTCCAGATAAATAATCTTGTAGAGCTTTTCTTTCTTCCACGTCATTTCTTGTAACCACCATGTTATCTACATATACAATGAGCATAGTGATCTTACCATGTTTCTTTTTTAAAAATAAGGTGTGATTTGAGTTGCTTTAACAATAGCCAAAAGCTTTCATTGATTTTGTGAACCTTCCAAACCATGCTTTTGGAGATTGCTTCAGCCCATACAATGACTTCTTCAATCTGCACACCTTCTGACTATGCCCTTTTTGTATCATGTATCCGGGGGGGAGATGCATGTAGACTTCTTCTGATAATTCACCATGTAAAAAGGCATTCTTCACATTGAATTGGTGCAATGGCCAATCCAAGTTTGCAGCCAAAGATAACAAAACACGAATTGTATTTATCTTAGCTACTGGTGCAAATGTCTCTGGGTAGTCAATTCCATATGTTTGGGTGTACCTTTTAGCCACCAACTTAGCTTTATAGCAGTCAATTGTACCATCTGCTCTGTACTTCACAGTGTAAATCCACCGACATCCAACTGGTTTCTTTTTTGTTGGACAATCGACAAGTTCCCACGTTTTATTCTCCTATAAGGATTTCATCTCCTCATCCATTGCAACTTTCCACTTTGGATCAGCTACGATTTCCTACACATTGTTAGGAATAACCACAGTAAATAATTGATTTACAAATGATTGATTTGATTCTGACAAATGATGGGTTGACACATACTTACTCATGGGATATTTAGCTTTATTAGAGAAAACAGGTTCATATGTGGATTTAGGAATACCTTTAGTGTGACATTGTGGCAATTGTTTTCTATTTGGTTCAATATCTAGAGTAGGAGCATTTTCAGCAGATGATTAGTTTGGTACATACAGAATCAGATGCAGATACTTCAAATAGTGGTGAAGGAGGATTCACAACTTCTGTGTCTGTCACTTCTTCAATTTTGACGTGTTCATTGCCACTTTGATCCAAGCTTATACCACTTGTATTTGAGTTGTTTGCTTCCTGGTTACCAATTTCAGAGTAGTATTTCACATAACTATTATATTCATAATCTAGAGTCTGAATTTCTTGATGACATTCCCCTGGAAATTCAGCTTTAAAGGGAAAATACATTGTATTTTCATGAAAAACCACATCCATAATTATGATCATTTTTCTACTTTGGGGATGATAACATTGGTAAGCTCTTTGATGCACGACATAGCCAAGAAATACACACCACAATGCTCTAGGGCCAGCTTGTTCAATTTGGAACAGCAGGGGCATCTATTGCTTCAATAAGAGTATGTAATGGTGTCTGAAAGTTATTTGAGCTAGAAGGAATCCAGTTGATTAAATATGCAGCAGAGGTAAATGCTTCTCCCCAATATGATAAAGGCATACTAGCTTGTATTAATGAAGCTCGAACAACCTTCAATAAGTGACGATTTTTTTGCTCTGCAACCCCATTCTATTGGGGTGTATTGGGACAAAAAGTTTGATGAATGATTCCATGAATTTCAAGCTATTGACGAAAATCAATACTTTGATATTCTCCACCATTGTAACTACGAAGAACCTAAATCTGTGCATTGTATTGAGTTTGAATCATGTTATGAAACTTTTGGAATAATAATTTTACTTCACTTTTGAATTTCATCAAGTATGACCATGTCATTCTAGTATAATCATCTATGAAAGTAACAAACCATCGTGATCCACCTAAAGTTAGGATTTTGGATGGACTCCAAACATCTGAGTGTATAAGCATAAAAGGGGTTTTACTTTTATTGAATGTCAATGGAAATGAAGCACGATGGCTTTTTGCTAGTTCACAAACATCACAGCGGAAGCTAGAAATATCACATTGTGTAAACAAACTAGAAAATAACTTCTTTAGATAACCAAAAGAAGCATGTCCCAAGCATTGATGCCATAACCAAATTTCAGATTTCTTCTCCACCTCCTCAAAACTATTCACTATCAAAGCTTGTTGTAATTTGCTTATGCTTTTTTTCTCCAAGTCCAAGTAGTACAGTTTCCCTCGCTTAATACCACAACCAATCGTCTGTCTAGTTTGAATGTCCTTAAACACACAAAATTCAGGCCAAAAAATTACAACACAAGATAAAGTTGTAGTTATTTTAGAAACAGATAAAATGTTGTAATTTAAATCTGGAACCACTAAAATAGAGTCTAAATTCAAAGAATCAGTGAGGGTCAAAGATCCTTCACCAATAACTGGAGTTGTGTTACCGTTGGCAGTGCACATAGATTTTTGTGAGCATGGTTTAAGAGCAGAGACTTGTCTAGAATCAAATGTCATATGATCAGTTGCGCCAGAATCAATTATCCATGTGTTATTCAAACTATGTTCAGAAATATATAAAGCCTTACCAGTAATATCTGTAGTTGTTACCAAAGCAAAGTTCCTTTCAATAGTTAAATCTTCAGACTTTGATTCAATAGTAGCTGCAGTGGGGCTTTTGTTGAAGTTCTTCTTTCTTGAATCACGATTATGATCCCACCATTTAGGATACCCCACAATCTCGAAACAACGATCTTTTGTATGATCATTTTGGTTGCAATGGGCACATTTATAAGTAGATTTATCACCAATGGTAGTCTTAGCATGGTTTGCTTTATTTCGATGCCGCCAATTTTGAGTTGATCGGTTACGGGCTACCATTGCTGAGCTGTCAGCATTTTCAAGCTCCATTTTCAAAGTTGTATGACACAATGTCTCACATTGAACCAATGCATAATATTCTTCTAAGTTAGGAATTGGTTCTTTACGTAGAATTTCTCCACGAATTTGTTCAAAGATGTTGTCTAATCCAGCAAGAAATATGTGAACGCGTAGCCATTGAACAGAATCTTGATATGCTTTTACATCATCAGGGTCATTCATGGCCACCTTGTCACGATGGTCCAACTCACAAAAATCTCAGTCAATTCACCATAATATTCTGATAGAGACTTACCACTTTATCTAGCAGAGAAAGCCTTCTGATTTAAGGAGAAAACTTGCAACTCATCACTTCCATCATAAAAGTCTTTGGATAAAGCACTCCATATTTCATGGGCAGTGGGTAAGCGTATGTAACGCTTCATTATTTCTAGGTTCATGGACATCAACAACCAGCGCTTCACTTTTTGATTTTCGGCATACCATTTGTCATATCCTTCATCCGTCTTTGGAGGGGGCTTCACATCGCAGCTAAGATATGAGGTTTTTTCCCGCTCTACAATATGCATCTCCATGAGTTGTGACCAAACATCATAGTTTGACTCTATGAGTGTGATTCCAGCATTAAAAATGCCCTATGATTGAACATCAATTGGGGTAGATTTTCGAGACATATTCTAAAAAAAAAAATTCTTTCAAAGGGAGGCTCGTGATACCATCTTGAAAGACAGAACTAGAGGCATAGTTGTAGGGTTTTAGAAATTTCCTTATTTTTTACATATCAAGACAAAAGGTATACATTCAATATATAAGGATTTTTCCTCCTAAACTTACGTTCCCCTATTAATCTAGTGAGCTGTCTATAACTAATTTACAGGAAACATATTATTGACAAATTCTAAATATAGAAGGAATTTATATGATTAACAATCAATCAGCAATAATTTAACACATTGATGATGCAAATGACACTAATATAAATGATGAAATGCCTGATAGAGATGACAATGATGTGGTAATTAAAATTGATAACTTAGAAGACATTCTTGAAATGGATCTAGCCCTTACCAAATAAGAAATGTTCATTTCATAAGTTTAGAAGTGGCGTATTGTTTTATACATGGTATGTAAGACTAAATGGTTTTTTTGCTAGGAAATACACAATCCTTAGAAACAATAAACATAAAATTTTACAGTAAACATTTGTTTGTTATAGGCAAGGATTTCGTGTGAAGAATTCAACCAATGAGAATAGTAAGCGTCAAAGTAAACCTTTAATGAGGTGTAGTTGCAAAGCAAAATTTAAATTGCATATAGACATGAATTCTAGTTGGTAGTACGCAACTGATTTTTTTTATGACCACAATCACAAACTACTAGATGAACAATTTTGTGGAATGCTTTTAACATATAGGAAATTGAGCAAGTCAGATATAATGCAAGTAAATAGTTTCAAGAAAGCTGGTATAGGGCCTCACCTTACATATGGTTCATTTGCTACCCAATCAGGAGGATATGAGAAAATAGGCTTTCGTAAAAAAGATATATATAATCAGATTGGAAGGCAAAGAAAAATGAGTGAATCAGATTCTATAAGTGCTTTACAATACCTTAATGAGTTGAGATTAATTGATCCGCTAATATTTTATCATCACACAATAGATGAGGAAGATAGATTGAAACACTTATTTTGGAGTGATGGTTTTAGTCAGATGGATTATAAAGTTTTTGGCGATGTTGTTGCATTTGATGCAACATACGGAAAGAACAAGTATCGTTGTCCAATTTCAAGTGTAAATCATCACAACCAAACTACAATATTTGATGTTGCAGTTATAGGAGATGAAACTGAAGAAACTTATGTGTGGCTATTAGATCAATTCATGGAAGCAATGGAAAAAAAGACACCTATATCAATTATTACTAATAGTGATTTGACAATGAGAAATGCCATAAAGAGAGTGTAGCCGAGTGTGCATCAAAGATTGTGTGCATGGCATTTGCTTCATAATGCAACTACAAATGTTGGGATTCTTGCATTTACTGTTGTGTTTAAGAAATGCATGTTATTTGATTATAATGTGGGTAAGTTTTGACGTAAGTCGGGTGAAAGTGTGAATAAGTTTGATTTGCAAGAAAATGGTTGGGTTAAGAAAATGTATGAAAAGAAGAAAATGTGGGCGACATGTCATATACGTGGTAATTTTTTTGCTGGCCCTAGGACTACTTCTTGATGTGAGAGTTTGCACTCCCAAATTGAAAGATTTGTTAACTCAAGGTGTACTTTAATAGAGTTTTTACAACAATTTTACATGTGCTTGAATCGTTCGATTCAAAGAACTTGAGGCTGACTTTTCTACTATGCATGATGATTTAGTATTGCAAACAAATTATCAAAGCATTGAAAGGGCAGCTGCTAAGGTATTTAAAAGGGACATTTTTATTGTTTTGTGTTACACTTATTAGGTCATCCATGATGATTGTAGTTAGATGTAAAGAGTCATTTACACGAAATATTTATGTAGTGTCAAAGTATGATTGCTTTAAACATGAGTGGCATGTATCTTTTCATCCAATTAACTATGAATTTAAATGTGGATGTCAAAGGATGGAATCTTTTGGTGTTTCGTATGACCATATTCTCGCGGTGCTCATTTTTCTAAACATTGTAGAATTGCCAATATGTCTAGTATTAGATAAATGGACAAAGAATGTATCTTTTCATCCAATTAACTACGAATTTAAATGTGGATGTCAAAGGATGGAATCTTTTAGTGTTTCATGTGACCACATTCTAGCGGTGCTCAGTTTTCTAAACATTGTAGAATTGCCAAAATGTCTAGTATTGGATAGATGGACAAAGAATGCAATGGACTCAGTTCAAGGCACTTTGAATAACCAATCAAATTATTGGGACTCAAATTCTATTCCTAGACTGGTTGTTTTAATGCATCAATATAAGGAGTTAGCTAAACTTGCTTGTCAAAGTTCAGAGGATTTCTACAATGAAAGAGACAAAGTCACCAAAACACTTGAGGTCCTAAGGTCAAAGAATGCTTCTATTGGTCAAAATGATAAGGATGAAGTTGACATTATTCAGAATGGAGTAAAAGATCTAGCTACTGATAGGAGCGAAGGTAGTGGAAATCATTCCACATCATATATGGCAAAGAAGTCAAAGGGCTCAAGAAAGTGCTCAAGATGTAAATGTTATGGTCATAATAAAACTACATGTCCATTCCTTAAGGCTTTGTTTGGGAGTTTGAAGAGGGAGGGAAGGGAGAAGGAGGGAAGGGAAAGAGAGATTAAAACTCCTCTCTTGTTTGGATGTTTAATATGAAGAAAGGAAGGTGATAGAGGGGTTAGTAATATAAATGACATTATTGTCCTCATTATTGCTTTTTATATTTTTTTAAAAATATAAATATTAAATATTTTTTCTAAAAATTAATATTTTTAAAAATTAATATATTTTGAAACTATCACTCTAAAAATATATTTTTAAACATTATATTTTTATTTTTTATAAATTTTTTCAAAAATATCACTCTAAAATTTAATATATTTTGAAAAAAATTAATTTATTGTTAATTTTTTCTTTAAATTTTTTCAAAAAATACACATTATATATTTTTTTCCTCTAAAAATTAATATTTTTAAATTTTATATTTCTATTTTTTTATATTTAAAAAAAATTCTCACTCTAAAAACTATCCTTTTTAAAATATATTTTTTTATGCTTTTTTTAAAATTAACATCACAATTTTTTAAAAATATTTATTTATTTATTTTATTTCATTCATTTAATAATCAATATGAAGAAAAATACTCATTCAAATTTATTAAGTAAGCAAAATAAATAAATAAATAATATCAATTATATATTAAAAATAGCTATTAACCGTATATCTAAATATTAACAACAACTAAAAAATATTGAAATACAATCATACTATAAATAATGTGGGTTAACATCGTGTTACATATCTAGTTTGCTATATTTATATTTATATTTATATTCATATTCGTATTCAGCTTGAGGAAGTCCTCTAACCAAAGCTTTTTGACTTGGTATGCACATTGACATTCATAATAATGATAACAATTACATCAACAATAGAAACAAATATGTATACACATGAAAATAAGTATCAGATTTGTAAGTGTAAATTGAGAGTTCAAACTATCATCACATAATATTCTCAAGTGGAAAATTCCTCTTTTTAGTCTTTTGTATCGTTATTACATTATTTGGAAGGCTTAGTTCCATAATATTCCAAATAGTACTACTTCTAGGAACACCAGATTCCAAGATAAAGTTGAAGTCTTATAGATAAGGTGAACAGACCATTAAGCGTATTAAGCACCATGTTATAAGAACTTATGAATTTGTGATTTAATCCAAACCAAGTTTTCTTTGTTATGCAAGTAGGCTATAAGATAACAGGACTAGTACACAACAAGCTAAGAGACGGATATGACACTATATTGGAATTTACTTGGGATTATACGTTTTGGAGGGATAAAATTCTAGTATGGAATGTTCAAATAGCTATGCGATGCAAAATTCAATTGGAAATTGTTATGGTGTCTTACCAGTTTCAGCATATTAAGCACCATTTTAAAGTAGAATTCTGCTAATAAGAACTCAATTAGCTGAATCGAATACAATACCAAATAAAGAGTCCAAAACTAGACTGAAAAGATCAAGCAACAGTATTTAAAGCCTTAATGCTTATTTAACATTGTTTCATTTTTAGAATTGCACATTAATATTCATTCCCAGATATACATATGCAGGTAAGATAAGAATACAAGACCAAATAGTGTTAGCTAAGAAAAATACTAAATATCAAATATAAACATACACATGGACAGCATAATAAAGTCTGCAATCTTTGTTGAGTAAATCAAATATATATTTTCACACTAAAAAAGAACTAAGCATGAAAAGGAGGGAATACATTCAGAATGAGAAATCATAAAAGAAATATATATTTTCTCTCTCTATGTTACTGCACCAACAAGACAGACGTAGACCAGATATAGCTTTAACCAGATATTAGTATGGCCTCCAAAATAAAATAAGAAGTTTAAAAAAAAATAAAAAGTTGGTTATAAACAAAAATAGAAAGAAAAGAGAGATCTACCTTGAGGAACCAACTTGACCAAACACTATTTCCATTAGCAAATTCTTTTGCTTATCATTTGGAGATCCAAGTAGTCCTCTAAGCTTTCCAGGATTATCAAGAAGATATAAATATGTATGGTTAAACATTTGACTCTCAATTTTTAGTTCTTCCAAAAGATTCCAAATCTCATTTTCAGAAATTGAAAGCTTTTGTTGAGCTTTCTCATAAGCTAGTGTGCTTTCCCTTAAAGCTTTATTACTATCTTTAAAAGCATTCGCAATTTTCAAAAGTGCTTCTTTTATCCGTTTAGCTTCAATATCATCATTGGATTTCTTAGACCTCTTAGCCCTAGTTTCTTGTTGAGCAACTTGCACCGTAGGAGAATTAATTTCTTGCTCATTGTCTTCTTGGATACTCTCTAATGTTATTTCATTAGTTTGCAATGAGTCTAATTTCCTAGAGAGTGGCCTTTTATTTCTAATATATTGGGCAGTTTCAGCATGCTCTCTGGTTGCCCTATCTTCTCCACACATGATCACCATCTTGTCATAGTTTGGAATAGACTTTTTCATCCACTCTCAGCTTCAGGTTTAGCCTGTCAAATAAGTTATTAAATAAAGTTAGAAATAAATATTATAAAATTATATAAAATCAAGAAATTCAAATTTTGTAACATACTTGAATTAGTTTTTGCCAAACTGCAAGTTCAGCAAGCCACCGCTTTGTGTTTGAATCCCATGCAAATCCACTTAAATTTTTGAAGATGTCATAACATTTGGTAAAACTCCTTTTCAATAACTTCCAACAACCTTTCACTTTATCCTTTTTAAAAGGTCTGTTAAATTTTTCTTACAACGTTTTAGTTATGGAGTTATAAGCCTTTGTTGTAAAACTTCCACCCACCTTATTTCCCTCATTTTGTTGATGTAGAAAGGCATCAACAAGAGCATTATCCATTTCTGGTGTCCATATCTCTCTTTCTGATGTAGACATAATAATTCCTAAATAGAAGATCTTAACTCCAATTTTAATAAAAAAATGCATATTATATAAAAACTGTATACACTAATTAAGATCACAAAAGTCATCAAATCACAAAATATATCAAATAAATACATAAGTTAAGAAGTATAATCTCTCCACATAGAATCAGCAATGAAATTCCTTAAATTCTCTCCTCGACGAGTATGTTCTTCCTCAATATCATCTACTAAGATATAATCATTTTGAGGTGTACTTTGATTGTCAATTTCTTCATCCACCTCATCAATTAACTCTTTATCAAGATCTATTATCAACAAATAATTATGTAGAATACAACATGCTAGGATGATCATATTTTGAGTTTTGATTCCATAAGTTGGTTCTATGCCACTTGTAATAATTGGAAATCTTTTTTTTCAAAATTCCAAAAGCTCTTTCAACAACATTTCGTAATGATGAATGTCGATGGTTGAACAATTCTTGAGGTGTACGAGGTGGATTTCTAGGGGAGAATTCTTTCAAATGATAATGAGTTGATCTAAATGGTGTGATTAGTCCCTTTCTCAACATGAATCCAACATCAAGAATATAATATTTACCTAATAAAAAGAATATTATTATTGATATATATATATATATATATATATATATAGAGAGAGAGAGAGAGAGAGAAATAGAGAAAAGAAAAAATTTAATTACCTCTAGGAATTTTAAGACAATTTGTTCTATGTAGTGCATCTTTAATATTCTTGAATCAGATGCAATGCCCTCCCATCCAGACAAAACATAAGTAAATCTTAGGTCAAATGAACATGCAACCAATACATTCTGTGTTGGAAAATCTTTTCTACCACGATATTTTGCAGCTTTAGTCAATGAATGATAGATTCTTTTACTTTGAGGATGAATTTTAGTTATGTAGTAATACACTACAAGGTATACAACGTAAACAATAGTCATTTGAAGTCTTTGAATCTCCCTATGCAATTCAAGGTTTCTTTGCTCATCCATCTATAAAGATAGTATATTGATAATTTAATATATTTTTAAAGTGACAACAAATAAATTTTTTTATTAATTTATAAATGCAATGAAAATAAAATAAAATGCTAAAAGCCTTCAATATGCAAGCAGGGGTGAAGAACAACTAGTATTTACCATGAAGTCTAACCAAAACTGTGACAAACTAACTAAACTTATAAATTGACAAGGTTCATTACAATAAAAAGAGAACAACTTGGTTGAAATCTATGTAAATTGAACATAATGGGTTATGAATCAATCAAGCCAGCACTAAATGAGAACAATTCTAGGATCGAAGTAACTAATTAGCTTAGCATTGAAGTTGTAGTAACAAGTTAGTACTCTAAACAGAATCACAAACAGGGCCTCCAAGTATAAAATAACTAGCGAGCATTGTCAGATGCATACAATACATTTACTCAGGGAAAAAAAAAGACACTTGATCATTATAAATGCAATGACAGACAAATAAAACAAAGTTCATATATTACTACATTTTCTAAGTTTTCATACCATTCTAAAAAAAAAAAGGGTCTACCTTTGCCTCAATCTCTAATAAAATTATTTGATGCACTGAAAGTTTTGACTCAGCCTCAACCAAAGCATGAAGTTGCCTAAAAAGATCACCAATGCCTCTGTTACAATAAACAAGTTCATTACAACATACGTACCAAGTATATACAATTGTTTAAAATGTCATAAGATACAAGCATCTAATAGCGATATGACTACAATAATACCTTGTAAGTTAAAATATATAAATTCTGCAAACTTATAAAATTCCAGAAATGATTTCATCAAATTCTTCTAAATTTCATCCTTGTCATGTCAATAAAATTTAGTTTTACTATTTGGATAACTGACTAATTTGCTTCTCCAAGAAATGATTATTGTCTGTTTTACAGGAAACTCAATGCAATCTAGAGATGATATATTAATTTAAGATTACTATTGAAATATTTAATCGTCCTGAAATTATCTGTCATTAAAGCTAAGTTTACAGTTTACTATGTGTTAGCTACAAACTTCTGATCTGGGATAAAAACATCATGAGCTGTAGGAAATGAAAGATATGCAGTATTAGATATTGTATTGTATAATCTATCTGTAATGTTTTTTTTTACTAGGTAAGATTATTAATATATATAACTTGAAAGTTTAATATTTCATCTTGAATAATGTTTGTACAAGTTACTTGCCG